ACAGTTCAGTTCAGCCTAGGTTTGCGGCTTTACTGACCGACGACAGCGAATAGGTTCGAAATAGTCATTCGCCTTCAACTGTTATTTGACCGGAAACCTTCCCAATAGCGACAAAGAAGTACAAGAGGATAAAGAGCTAGCTGCACGGAAAATGAAGTCAAACCTTAATGGAAGAGTTTCTGTAGAATTCTGATGAATTTAAGAATAGCGCGACAAGCAGGCATGTTGTCAATCTGTATACGTGACGAAGTGACGCAAACTCCGGCTAAACAGGACTGGAAGTCCTGTGCTGACCAGCTCCACACGGAGCGTACTTGTGAACGCTTGCTGCTTCCGGCCTCTGGAAGAGCCAATCGCAGGCCGACACACACAGGACCATGTGACGACTGCCGAGCAGACATCACTTCACACGCCGTCCACTGGCTTGCGGTTGTGCGGTCATCTGGCAGTCAATTCCCTACTGCCTATTCTCTCATTCCATATGTACAGAACATACTCCTCCTACCACTCTGGCCTCCCATGACTTCTCCGTTCCTAAGGAACCGGGCCTGAAGATCGTAGTTGCGATAGTCCAACTGGACAAGACCTTATAAAAAGTTCACTGCCCAGGCTTTTGCGCGAAAATGCAGAACTTTTTCGAGTGTGCAGGTAGTTAGGAGGAACAGGGTAGACTGCGACACTTACCTTGTTAAGGATGTTGGGGTCGGCGCCATGATCAAGAAGGACGTAGATGACTTGCGGATGGCCCTGTTGAGCAGCCAAATGCAGGGCAGAGGAGCCAAGTTGCGTAAGGGCATCCACGTCGCAGCCCTTACTGAGCAAGAACTTGACCATATTCATCTATTAAGGAGGGTACTTTAAGTCAATATAACCTCTTCTGCAGACGAGAGGGCAAACAGGTTTTGGCAGTGGCAAAGCAGTCTGCTTTGCCTAGAGCACTGTTGTATTATAGGTAAAAGTAGCAAAGAATACAAGAATACTATAATTAGAACCACAAAATTTCGTGATTGCTCCTTAGCTGCCACCTGTCGCTGCATAAAATCAATAACCAATAAGAGAATACAACAAATTGAATTCGTACAGAAGAAAACGATGAAAAAACAGCAAGTTCATGGTATATTGCCACACAGGCTAACCACTAGAGCTAGAAACTTAAGGCACCTTATGAGAAGCAAAATTGGGGGAGAGCTTAAAAGTAAAAAGTGGGGGTACAATATGTGAATCTGGGAACTGGATGCTACGAAGGCAAATTTAGGTTAACAAAATGCTCCAAGTGGTTACATATCCGCTGTATGGATATGCGGATGATGTCTTCGCGATGGTTGATAACAGTAAGCAACTTGACATTTGCTTTCTATCATGAATAATTTGTACCCCAAGATCAACTTCACGACGGAAAAGGAACGGGAAAACCAGCTTTCCTTCTAGGACGGTCACATGTTTAGACATGAAAATAGCTCCCAAACAGGAACTATTTTCCATAAAAATACACAGGAAGGGCAGTGCATGCATTAACTGAGTTTTGTTCACATACAATGGAAACGTAACCTGATATACACTCCTTTCTAAAGGGTAAGAAACATTTGCCCTATGGAAACATTGCCTCAAGGCACTTTTACTTAAGCGCGGGTATTCAGAAAATTTTTTCCACAAGTACAGCAACCCCTGAGGCCAAAATTGACAGAATAGTCAGTTCAGAAAAAGTCCGCTTTTATACCTTTGCACTTGAAAGGTAACAAGATTTTACGTACCGCCAAACGACGCCTGTGTTGTACTATTGAAAGGACATAAAATGCCGCTGAGCTCATATTTTGCAGTCTCATACAGCCTCTACTAGTTACACGTGCAAAATATGTTTTGCCAGTGCACGCCACTGCAAGTACATTGGCCAAACACAACGGCAATTGACAGCCAAATTTATAAAACACCTGCCTAGATGGTTGTTAAAGCAGGCAAACAGAATTTTGCGCTCATACATTACAAAACGTTTGCTTGATACGGGTCACTCTGTGAACTCCAAACCATCCTTCCCAGTACGTGTTCGGGCATGAACAACTCGTACATTGTGCTACCTGGAGGCAGCCTATATAAAGCGGATGAAATCCGACCTATGCAACTAGTTGGAGCACATAGTTAACCTAAACTTGCCTTAGCAGCATTCAGCTCCTCAGTATACACACTTCTCCTGTCTTTTTGTGCTTTAAAGTTTTTCCCCACTTTGGTTTCCCATATGATGTTTTAAGTTGCCAATTATATTTATTAGCCTACGTGACAATATACCATGACCACCGATCGCATTAACCGAACCTGGTGGCCAGAGTCCACGTGACCAAAAAAAATCTTCCCCTGATTCGATCCGTAGCGGACTGCTAATGATCTGGGCGGATACTTCTGTTTTTGCAACCTTGTCGGCTGACTCTGCAATCAGCAAGGAAGCATCCAGCGGCAGCTTCCGCACTTCGGTGATGATACCGATGACCTCTATTCCCCCCGTTGGACCCTCCCCTCAAGAGCGAATTTTTTTCCTCATAAAAAATCCCAAGGAGTTGGAACATCCACCTAAGAGCGATAGTTTTTTTTTCTCCTAAAAAATCCCAAGGAGTTTTTTTCACTGTCTGCTCTTTTTTTACCTATGTTCCACCTCATTGGCTCATGTCAATTGGCCTCGCCAATAAACTGACATAATATTTTTCTGATACCACAACATGCATGTGCAAATAGGGAACTCATAGATCATTCACCTAGATCTCCCTCAAGTATAATGATACTGTACGAATTCAATTTGTTGTATTCTTTCATTCGTTATTCATATTATGCAACGAAAGGTAGCAGCTGATGGGCAGTCGCAAAACGTTTCGGTTCCAACTGCGTTATTTGCACTCTTTGAATTGATATCAGGAAAAAGTGGTTCAAACAAAAGTAGCCACCAAAAAAAAAGAACTGCTGGCAAATTGCATTAGACATGTCATCTAAGAGATACCTGGCCGAAGTGGCAAGCGGTGTGCAAGGGCGTATAGCCGGCCATGGTCACGGGATCAAGTTCGGCTCCGGCAGCATAGAGCACTTCGGCGGCTTTGACGCTGTCCTCTTGTGCAGCCATATGCATAGGAGTAAGCCCATTCTGTTGTGTCAAAAAGGAAAATTGTCCGTTGATTCCTTATATAATTATATTATAATGATATGATTAAATATAATATAATTACTTCGGAGCCATTTCATTCTATCCTTCTAGTCCATGTGCGCCTGCCTACGCGGTGTTTAATGTGATTTCCAGGGCGAGAACGAAACTTAATTGTTCGATTACCACATCGGCGATGCCCAAATATGCCTCATATGCCCGATCTTCTAGGAGTCTAGGTA